GCAGCTGCTGCCCTCCTGCAGCGCAGGCCACGCTTTGGGGGCAGTTTTGACCCAAAGCTACTGCTTGAGGTTTATACGAGCAACAGTAGGCTGTGCTTGAACACGAGCTTGGACGGAGCCAGGCGCTGGTACCCGCACAGCAAAAAGTGGCTGATGGAATCACACCGGGCTGTAACTTTTAAAATAAACAGCAGCAGCTGGTGTCCTGTGTACTCGGGGGAACCTGCCCCACTGTCCTGCGTGGCCCTGGGGGTGTCTGGCTCCCCCCAGCCCAGGAGCAACCTCCGACAGCGGGGGCAAGCGAGCCCCCCCAGCCGAGCTGCTCCCTCCACATTGGAAAGTTCTCGGTGAGTCACGGCCACAGATGCAGAAATACCCTGTCTGCTCCCGGTGCTCGGTCCTAAACCCAGTGAAGTCAGTCGGAGCTTTCTTATTGATTCAAGGAGGGTTTGGATCATGCTCTAATTCCATAATAAATAATTTGAGATAATCTGTCTCCCCTCTTGGGCTGAGGGAGTCGAGGAGGCAGCAGCCAGGGCTGTGAAAGATGGGATCACTGGAGGCATGAGTAATTTCCAAAATTCTTGTTTTTGCTGGCTGTATATTTTTTTCACTGCCTGTTTTATGTTTCCCTCACTGCGATAAATCACTGCTTTGGAAGGAGCCGGTGAGGCCCCGGTCTCCTGGGCACAGCACACTCAGGAAAGGGCTTAAAGTGCCATGCCAGAGCTTACAGCTGAATCACAGTCCATCACCCTGAGCCCAGGCGCAGGGCTGGGAGCAGCGGGGCACGTGCTTGCCGTGGGGCCCGTCACTCCCCGCTGTACGTTGTCCTCCCCCAGGCCAGTGCTCCGACAGCTGCCGGAGCGGGAGCGGGAGCAGGGCAGCTCTGCACAGTGCCGTGCTGGTGCTGCTCGGCCGTGCCCGTGGCACGATCAAGGCCTTGCGCTGGGCACAGGCTCTGTCATCCCTTGCCTGCGCGTGAGAGCACGGGTGGGCAATGGGAGCTGCGGGGGGCACACGGCACCGAGTCGGCGGCCGGGCGGGGAGGGTCCCAGCCAGTGCTCGGGGTGAGCACGTGGGGCTGCGATGGTGCTGGGTGGGCTCGGCGGTGCTGCTCATCACCCTCCTGAATTTTCCTGGAGAAACGAGCTGGTGTCTCGCAGGCTATTAACTGATGCGATGCTGGGAAGGGAAAACTTCCCCCAGCCGAGCTGTGCAGAGCTCACGCATGTTCCCGCGCGGAGGAAGGACAGTGCTGCAGCGGGGGCTGAGTCCCCCCGGAGCTGAGGATCGGTGCTGCAGCCCCCCGGCCACTCTCTCCACCGGCGCGCCCTGCGCCGGGGGAGCGCTGGGTGCTGAGCCC